TGGTTGCGAGTTACGACTATCTCGTTGTGACAAACCACATCTGGTTGAGAACCATTTAAAAGTAACTCCAGTTTCGCATATAACAAGAATTGATGAGGTGAATGCGCAAACATTTTCTATGTTCAGATTTGTCAGATAATAAATTTACAGGCTTCTAGGAACAGTAACCAAGTCGTTGTCAAAAGAAATAAAGAGGAGTGAGAGGAAAAACACAAAATATTCTTGTGTAAAAGTGAGTCATGACTCAGTAAATTATACTTTTTGGATAAAACAAAGGCCTAATTACTCAAACTTTTCTTTTTCTGTATTAGAACACTAACCGTACACATGCACTTATGTAGGTTAATGAAGACAAGTCACTAGTAAGATAACGAATTGGCGAATAATTTTATGGATAAGTATATTTAAAAGAACTAAATTGTTGAAAAATTACATTGAGGTAGAGGATATAAAAATAAAGACACACTGATCTGATTATTTTATGATATTTTGATTATTGTTTTTTGAATACTGAAGCTCAAAAAAGCCATAAGTGAGCTGTTTTTCACAATAATTGTCCAAATCTACTTGCACTAAGAATTCGGGTTAGGAACCTAACCCAGTTTAAAGTTTGTCAGGATATTCATCCAATATCCTCAGATAATTGTTTGTAAGTCTTATTCTACTGGTTCATTCCTACAGGTCAATATTATGGTCGTCTTAGCTATAATTGTCACGTAATCCAATGTTCTTTCCCATTGGTCGTCCTAACTGTCGATGTCACTCATTATCTGTAACGTTTTATGACCAGGACCAGGATCAGGACTCGGATCCCTAGTCTGGGATCGTGATTCTCTCCTGGACTCGGATCTCGTACTTTCTGGATGCTTGTAGAATACATGTTCTACTTCACATCAAGTCTCCTTATTTTTACTCAATATGGGAGTTTGGGAAACTCGGATCACTGTAGCATGTCGTGTCACCGGATCCTCGATCCTCGCTCTCGTTTTCCAACTAAGGGGTAAACTCGTAATAGTTCAAGCATATCAAGTTGACGTGTTTACGTGCAGGCGTAACAGCTGTAGCTGAAGAAGATGATAAAGAATAAAAGACAACTTGAACATTATCATCCAGGTGTTCCTTATTTAGTTTAAGCCAGTTGTACTTCAAAACATAAAGTTAGATATTGTAATGTAAGAAATTAAAATTTCACTATAATGTGTAATAAAAAAATTTTAATATCATTATCAACAACTGAAAGTCCATTCAAAAACTGATGAATATTGAATACTTCTCTTTTCTTCATTTTGTACTCTTCGTCAGGGAGAAGATAAAATCTCACAAGAAATTAGACCGTTAAGTTTTAGAGTTTTCATGATTGGTTTACCAGCTGTGTAGTAGAACGCTTCTACGAAGAAAATATGATTTATGAAAAATAAAAAATATTGTACTCGTTTTGTTTAACTGTACCAAAAACAATTCTTGCGCGCAACTTTCTCTTTGCGTTGCTGCCATTTTTCCTAACTTGCTGCTCCCCATGTACTGCCTAATTTCTCCTTTAATAAAATACTCAAACATGGATTTGTTTTGATATAAATGACCGGCTAGTATGGAACATTTAGTGGTGGTCATAGACAATCTGGTATCTCTCACCACTAAAAGCTAATAATAATAATAATATCTGACATCAGTGATTTTTCAATGGATTTAATCTCTACAAACTACGTATCAACCTTAAAAATGAAGCATTAGTCACATATTTACTACAGAAATAGTAAACTTCAACGGTTGTTAGAAATATATTTGGTGATTATTTCAAAGTCTGATCAGTTGTAAAACTTAAAAAAAGCTATTGAAGCAATAAATTTTACATGCATCCTGGAAAAATTTGATGGATAAATCTGAATTCAGATAATCATCAATGAGTTTCAAAATAGTTATATGATATAATCAAATAGTTTAAATAAGATTTATTTCATTATTTTGACCAGGTCATAGTTTCTTATTAATGAAAAGTTATTGACTATTTTGATGATTTTTGTAAAACACGCTAAGTTAACACTCAAATAACTATTCTAATGAATTTCTTGTTTTACAGATGTACTTTTACGTTTTATACTTTTAACAAGTATGTCCATACAAATACATCAACAGTGTGTGAAGCTACGACAAGTCTATTTTATATTGAAGTTTGAACGGAGACTCAGTTAAATATACATATGTTTGAAATTAAACACTTAATTTTTGTTGAAACAATTTCTTTTGTGAATAAATGAAGAAAAATCTATTATGACCACTAAAAAGATTTCGTATGAAATACCAATTCATCTATGGTCGGCTGAGTATGAGATTCCATTTGAATTGACCGAAATTTTTCTTTGAGTGTTTTTCTGTGGACAACAGTTTTCTATTATTGCACTGAAACGTTGACAAAGCTATTTATAGAAAGTGAGAACAACAATCTTTGCAGAATAAAATGAAGTCATAATATTTCAGGGGGGCTTCTTATCAGCTGTAAACATCCTAACTTTACATTAGTAGTATTGTGGTGCGAGCTACTTATAAGTAGTATATGACGTGAGTGTCAACGTAATGTCTGGCAGCAGAAGATGGGGGAAGATCAAGAAAGGAAGAGTTAGAACACAATGGAATTTGTATGAAACGCATGAATAGTGACAATGGATTGATGTTTTGCAACAGGAACAGTCCAGTTCGATATGATGAACTGATATTTTGCAAATTAACGATTTACGATATGGTTTTTCGATTTTACTGAGTAACTCTGTAATTTTCGTTCAATACAATTGGGTTGCCCTCCGCTGTGTTCTCATTCACTACAGTATTACTATTACAGAAATGGTTTTTAACAGACCATCATAACCAATGAAGTTTAGTTTGAACCAAAATACAAATCAAGATAAGGAACATATCATATTTAACATTGTAGTGGTTGTTGGAGTCGTCGAGGTGGACTATGAACATGCCTACAAACCAATCACATTCTAGCCTTAACGCATTATCCCATCGTGAACCAAAAGAAAGACAGATAAGAAGAGATAGTTCAGATGAAGAAGTATATATTTGTTGGAGATTTCGTGGTATCGAAAAAATACCGAAATCATGCCAGAGAAGGCAGACGAAAATGTATAGTGCAGCTGAAACGAGATGGTGACCGCGCAACAAGAAAGTGTTGTACAGTAAAATAAACCACTGGTACAAGTGATTACAATAATAATGAATGTTTCTATTCCACCGATCGCGTTTTCTTCATAAAAGTAGAGTTACTACAATATCAAAGTGATGATTGACTAGTACTTATTGATTAGAGATGACATCAAATAAAAGAGAGAAGGATGATGAAGTTGTGAACATCAATAAAATGACATTAAATGAAAAAACAAACTATTACCAATCGAATGATCATCAAAGCACCTCTATCCATGATAGTATTGAAGTTAACATCATGAATGAATGTCGAAGGGATTACTTGTTTTAAATTTTGACCATCCTGAAGAGATAATTTAACTAACAAGCTTTGAAAACTGGAAGTAGACATGAAAAGAATGGACAACGATTGGTTAGAACTGAAAAAGAAGGCTCAGGATAAACTAGGTTAGCGAGTGATGGTCAGTGGCCTATTCTCCATTAAGACTATTAGACTCAAGTAAGTGATTAAGTAATCGATCCAACTGGCTCAATATTGTAGGATGATCTGTTGCAGTCTCTATGTTTAAATTAATTTGTCCTATAGGAATCATCCTTGAAGTTTATCTATTCTCATAAACTTTGATTTTCTTAACTAACAATGCGTATAACAATGTGTATAATTGAGTTTAAAAACTGAATTATTTGAAGAATGTAATTTTAATTGGAATGATGAATCAATCATTAGTAGACTATCATTAGAAGCCTGGAAGCAATGGATGACCGTACTGTCTTCGTATGAAACACATCATTAGTGCTCATTCACGATCTCTAAGGCGTACTTTTGGTCTGGTGTGCGAACGCTTAACGTTATTCAGCCTCTAGCAGTGTTTAATGTCTAACTTCAGTCATTTCAATGCTTTGCTCAACCTCAGTGAGTAACTGCCTACACCCGAAAGGGTTGAACTACACTGGTCACGTCTTTTTACCTGGTTTGTTAATTTAATCTAAATCTGAAAAGTCATTATATTACTGAAAGATATTTCATTTTCAAATGGAAATTAGTCACTTCATACCTGCTAACTAAATGAAATTAAAAATAACTAAACTTTCTTTTTAGTCTTCATAGTACTGAAATTTTTACGTAGGTAAAACATTTTCTTCGAAATTGTTATACTCATCATTTGATATGCTTGAAACTATTATGAGTTCACCTTGGTCGATAAACGAGTACGAGACAATGACCCAGTGACATGGTAGGCTACTCTGATCCGTCACCCTAAACTAACTGACGAAAAAGTCTTAATATAGCGTAGAAAGTGTACTCAGCCAGCACACAAATCGCATTTATCTATATAAATCATAGAAAAGTCTTTGAGAAAGTCACAAAATAACGTCCCTAACAGAAGTAACCATTTGTTGAATGAACTCGTCAATAAAACAGTATTATTAACTGTTTTATTGCATATTTCCTCCTCTAGTCTTAATCTGTCAAACATTTACTAAAATAAATGCTTTTCAAAAGACCTCTCCACTTAAAATCAATTGAAATGTATCGTTTCAATGTCAACCTGAAACACAACTGACATTCAAATTTACATTCTATATTCAGTGAACATATCAAAAGTCTCCTCATAATGCACAAAGTAAGAATAATAATAACAGGCAGTTGCGATACATCATAAATTTTCTTACGCCTGTTACTCTTAATGGAGCCAGATGGCTCCGATCCCAATATTCTCCAACCTACTCTATCCTAAGCTTAAATACATCATTTAGTTAACCATTAAGCATATTTTTATATCTTTTTTTTAGTTAATAAAAGAAACCAATCAACTTTTAATAAGTAGGCAGTTATTTTGAATGCAAGAAGTCTAGTATTTATATCACTAGCTTTCATTTAGTTTAGGCATCAAAGTACATTGCATTGTACTTAGCAAGAAATGTACATAAATGAAAGAAAAAGAAAGTAGTTTAATTAGAATGATGAACACTTTTTGTTATGTGGAATAATATTTAGCGAGTAATATATATAGATCACACAGTACAAACGTATGGATCACAAATACAATATAAGTAGTACAGAAGGAAATTATTTGAAAAATCAATGTATTCATGATAAGTAAGCGATAAATTTAATTTAATTTCGAGAATTGAATAAATAAACAATGTTTTTTTAAACTTGATTTCTGAAGAAAAAAATTGTTTTACATTATAATTTGAGTAAAATTCGAAGTATAACTTGACAAAACAGGTTTTTTTTGGTTTTCGTGCACGATCTACTAATTCTAATAATAAGTAGTATGAAACAGTTTGAATCAAAATGGGCGATTATCACATTTGAACAGAGTTATAAATCAAACTATTTGATTGCATCTTTCACTACCAACATTTATGGATTTTGAGAAAAAATTATGATAATAATAATAATAATAGAGAATCATTTTCAAAAGGGTTGATTACTGAAGAAGAAGAACAATGAATATGATAAGATCACATTAATTTCTTCTCATCATGTCAAATAAGAAATGAATTGTCATTCAGTGAATGCATTTTTCCAACTTCTTCTTACTCCTTCCAATTAAAAATTTCATTATGTTGTAGTTGTTTTCGGTTTGGCAAAACCCAAATTACTTTGGTTGAATACTACACTGCCTAAATTGCCATAACTTTCAATGACAATCTCACCATTGGTAAACTATCAGGGGGAAAAAGGTGATTTAAGTAGTATATTACGCATAAAATAAAAAAAAGTAATCAAACTATGTAACTTCATAAAAATTAGAAAATATAACAGTATTGATATTTGATCGCATTGATTCTTCGTAGCTCAGGTGGATGTTTGTGGTGAAGTTTCGTCTTTTTTTTAATGAGCTTGATGTTTTCGTTTTGGAGCTTTCATCGTTCTGCTTTTGAACAATATCAAAGGAAGAACAATCAAAGGTCCATAACCAAATAACATCCGGCTCAGAGAATGAAACTCCACCATAAACATTAATATTAAGTTATAAATTAGTTTCATGGTTGGCTACTGTTGATAAATACACAGATACTTTCAGTCGAATAAATTTAGGTGGTTGATTTTTGAATGGCAGATGCAATCATTATCCAGTTGTTATTCAAGAGAATTAATGAATAATGTTTTGGAAATTTCATAGTATTTTTCAATGACGAGCTGATTTTATCAAAGTAATCTGTTTTTAATATGCTTGCAGCTATTACGGTTCACCTTAAGATGGTGGAGAAAACTTGTAGCTCAGGTGGATGATTGTGGTGGTGTTTCGTTCTCTGAGCTGGTTGCTTTGGTTGTGTAGCTTTCATTGTTATTCTTCTGAACAACATCATCAGCACGAACTTCAGATAGAAGTGAAGCATTAGAATTTCTCCACGTTTGACTTCACTTCACTTCAATCAATCCTATGTAGACCAAAGGAAAAAATGACAAAGGAAGAAAAACCAAATATCATCTACAAAATAAATTGCTCAGACTGTGAAAAACACTACATAGGACAAAGTGGACGACCTCTTCAGATCCGTTTACGTGAACATCAAATAGCAGTCAAACGCCACGACAACGCTTCGCTTATATCAATACACACCGACAATTATCGACACACATTTGATTGGAACAACGTGGAAATACTGGGTAGGGGGAGGACGAAGAACACTAGAGAATTTTTAGAAGCTTGGCACTCAGGTCAATTAGCAATCAACAAACACATCGACATTGACCCAATTTATCAACTAATCAGGAAAATCATAGGTGACACTAGATCAAGAAACAAATCAAAAGAGGGAGGCAATCAAAACATAATTGCAAACAACGACAGGTCAAAGGTCAACAACAACCAATCAAGATCGAGGTTAGCAGAACAAGCTACAGGTCAAACGTGGAGAAATTCTAATGCTTCACTTCTATCTGAAGTTCGTGCTGATGATGTTGTTCAGAAGAACAATGAAAGCTCCACAACCAAAACAACCAGCTCAGAAAACGAAACACCACCACAACGGTTCACCTTACTCGGTACACGGAAAGAAGATCAATGATTCAGCAATACGATAGACTACTCTAATCCAGTTGTCCCAGGCCCAAATAACTACAGGAAGAAGTCATGATAAGACGTAAAGAGGATGTATTCCACAAGCAACCAAAAAGTACACGGTCCATAAGCACAGAACTCATGCTTATTTATACAATGATAGCGACGCCCTTGGTGAGAGCCACAAAATAACGTACTAAAATAATCCATCAACCAATGACATTGAGGGATTTACCGAGTGAGAAATGTAAGCGAAAGGTCACCCAAGCATCTCTGGCACGAAAACACAGAAATTCAAACTTTCAGAAATAAATTAGAAAATTAAGACCTTTTCCAAGTGAGTTGCAGGGAATCTAATGTCCTCAATAGTTTTGTTCATTAAAACCAGTTCTCTTACTTTGTTTCTCCATATTATTTATGATTAAGGGGTATACTCTATTACCCTCTAGTAAGGTGTTTTACTGTTAGCACATCAGTAAATATTCTCTGACATATTTTTCATTCCCATATTGCTAACTACCATCAACTGATTTGGTTTTGAATCTTGATTGAGGCTAGAACTACATTGGCTGTTTTTAAAAAGTAGATACTTAAACTAAAGCTCTGTTCACGAGACAGGGATCTTTTTCTAAATTTAATTCTTCAGCTCAGTTATAGCTTCTTATAATTTCAACCATGAGTTATGTTTAACTGCATTACCATTGAAAATCTGCAGGCATTATATGAACGTTCAGCCCTAATGATGTTCTGTGGTGCGCGCTACTTATAAGTAGTATATGACGCGAGTGTAAACGTAATGTCTGGCAGCAGAAGATGGGGGAAGATCAAGCAAGAAAGGAAGAGTGGGAATACAATGGAATTTGTATTAAACGCATGAATAGTGAGTGAAATGTCAGACAATGGATTGATGATGGATTGAAGATTTGCAAATGAACCGTTTACGATATGGTTTTCCTATTTTACTGAGTAACAACTCTGTAATTTTCGTTAAATACAATTCGGTTGCCCTTACCTGTCTTCTCCTTCACTACATTTCTAGCGCTAAGATCAATTTATAGAGTTTAAACTATGAAATAAAAATTCTACAATCTTTGAAAAACCTTTTCTTTTCATACTTACAAATTATTTCAATCAAAATTAATAATCATTTGGAATGTAATAATTCATTTGCCTACCTGAATATTCATACCAGAACATGCTTCACGTAATGCTGTCAAGAAATTATTCACATCATATACAGAGACTGGATTTGATAAATCTTCATAACCAGCACCTGGTACATTGACTTGTTTTGATGGTAACTGATCACGTTTTGAATAGAGTGGATGATGTGTTAGCGTAGCATAAGGTAGACTACGACATAATGGATTCCATTTCTGTGTAATTTTCACATCATTCTCATCACCCCATTTTAATTGAACACCAGGTGAACTACGTATACTGTAAAATGTATAAGCGGTAAAGAAAAAATGTGTACAAATAATTAGGTAAAAAGTTTGTATATCAATAAAAAAAGGAGCGGATTGGCAAAGCCAAGGGTAGGATTTCTAAGATGGAAGAACATCTGTAACTCAAAATAACTATCAATCAACACTAAAGTCAGAATTTTCAATACAACTGTCAAGACAGTTTTATTGTATGGAGTGCAAAAGGTCTGAAAGATACAAGTGATTATCAACAGATGCCTACGCAAAATACTTCTAATCCATTGGCCAGACGTCATCAGCAACAACCTACTGTGTGGCAGAGGACAAACCAGATTGCAGCTAAGGAATAAATTAGTAAAATGTGTTGGAAGTGGATAGGACTTACATTAAGAAAAGCAGTAAACTTTGTCACAATACAAGCTCTCATTTGAAATCCTCAAGGTTAAAGAAAAACTGGGAAACCACAGTATACATTGCGCCGAGAAATGGATAGAGACATGAGAAGCATGGAAAAAAAATTGCTCAGAACTAGAAAGGAAGGCCTAGAACAGAGTAGACTGAAGAATACTGGTCGGTAGCCTATGCTACACTATGAGTAACAGGTGTAAGTAAGAAAGTGTATATCACGAAAAATATCGATAAGTAGGAAACACAACGAAACAACTATTAAATATTATGGGGTTTGCGATAGGATTTTAAAAAAGTATAAATTATATTCTTGACCATAAGACAAACATCGCAACATTGATAAAAATTAAATTTTAAACTAGTCCGTGAATAGTAACTTATAGAAAAAAAACTGATATTCAGTCAGATTATAGTCAAATATTCATGATTAGAAATTGAACAGTCGATTATATTTCATAATTCTCTGGTTAGAATTAGGTATTCATAGATGGTGGAGAAAACTTGTAGCTCAGGTGGATGATTGTGGTGGTGTTTCGTTCTCTGAGCTGGTTCTTTTGTTTGTGGAGCTTTCATTGTTCTTCTGAACAACATCATCAGCACGAACTTCAGATAGAAGTGAAGCATTCGAATTTCTCCACGTTTGACCTGTAGCTTGTTCTGCTAACCTCGATCTTGATTGGTTGTTGTTGACCTTTGACCTGTCGTTGTTTGCAACTATGTTTTGATTGCCTCCCTCTTTTGATCTGTTTCTTGATCTAGTGTCACCTATGATTTTCCTGATTGGTTGATAAATTGGATCAATGTCGATGTGTTTGTTGATTGCTAATTGACCTGAGTGCCAAGCTTCTAAAAATTCTCTAGTGTTCTTTGTCCTCCCCCTACCCAGTATTTCCACGTTGTTCCAATCAAATGTGTGCATAATTGTTGGTGTGTATTGATATAAGCGAAGCGTTGTCGTGGCGTTTGAGTGCTAATTGATGTTCACGTAAACGGAACTGAAGAGGTCGTCCACTTTGTCCTATGTAGTATTCATAAAAATTCTGATCATGAAAGCAATCGATATTTAACGATCAATATAGTGAGATGGTGGAGAAGTTTTGTAGCTCAGGTGGATGATTGTGGTGTTGGTGGTGGTGGTGTTTGGTTCTCTGAGCTCGGATCCTGGTTTCGATTCCTGCGTTCAGGAGTCGCTGGTGCAAACTGTGCATAAGTCCCATACTAGAAACGAAATGGCAGTTCAGTGCTTCCAGGTTTCTTTCTTATAATGGCCTAACATTGATCGATTCATGATTTCAGTGAAACTCAACTATCTCTACAACCCTATGATGATAATTATCTAAATCTAGTTGACAAAATGATGAACTAGAACAACCTGAAACTCCTCAATTTGGTTCTCGCTAAACTGAATCACTTTAAAGGAAATGTTAATTTTCCAATCATATTCAAATAATACTTGAAAGAAATACGTATAACGCCTTTATTGTTTATTCTTGTACTTTATCAAAAAAAAAACAAGGTCATCTATCATAAAACCAAGATTCAATGCTGAATGTTTATCGATTTTCTGATTATGAACTTTTTTTATTTTACAAATAGTTCGAACTTCTTTCAAGTTTTAATCTGTTCAGTAAAAAAATTTCTAATCATAGGTTAAAGTTAGTGTGGTTAATAAGCATGTTTCAAGTTAATCAGTTGACTAAAACAAAGAACCTCCTCCAAAAAGTTAAGCGCTCTGATATAGTTATAATGGCTGGTGACTTCAATGCACAAGTAGGTAGACTAAGTGAAAATGAAAGACACCTAGGTGGAAGTTACGGTCTCGCGGCTCAAAGAACAGACAATGGTGACCGTCTGTTGCAACTGTGCTCAGATAACCAACTATTTCTAGCAAACACTAATTTTAAGCATAAGGAAAAACATCTTTTGACCTGGCGACCCCCGAAGTCGTCTCAACGTTGGACACAACTAGATCATATCGCCATCAGCCACCGATGGAGGGGTTCGATAGAGGACTGTCGCTCGTTCTGGGGCACATGTTTAGATTCGGATCATGCCCTAGTGCGAGCACGTATTTGTTTGAGGCTTGCTGGACGTAGGAAAGACACCGTAAGGAAGCCTCTTAGGGCTTTACTTGATGATAATCAAGCTAAGAAAATATTTCAGGAGGAACTAGAAAAACAGTTAGGCGACCATGCAAGTGATTCCCATCCTGAAGCAGGTTGGAATCATATCAAGAAGGCTGTGGAAACAGCAATGGTATCTGATAGCAAGGTAAACCATAAGGCTAGGATGAAGCCGTGGATATCAGTCGCATCCACCGAACTGATGGATGCTCGAAAACGCATCCCACCTAACCCTGAACATGATGAAGAGCGTAGTCAGCTTAGGTGCAGACTTATAAAAAGCCTACGTAACGACCGCGAACAGTGGTGGGTGGCGTAAGCAAAAGCGATGGAAAAGGCAGCGGCGATAGGCAATAGTAGACAACTTTTCCGCCTTATCAAAGAAACCGGTATTAGGAACCCGAATGTAAGTGAGACTATCTCGGAAAAGGATGGTCTTATTATCCATTCTCAATCTAGGAGGCTGGACCGATGGGCAGAACACTTTAGGGATCAGTTCAACTGGCCTTCAGCCACACTTCGGTTGCCCACGATCTCCAGTCATCCTGAATGGCCAATCGATTTAAGTCCTCCCAGTTTACATGAAGTTGAGAAAGCTATAGGAAATCTAAGGAGAGGTAGAGCGGCAGGTCCTGATAGGCTTACCCCTGAGATGTTTAAGGATGGTGGTCCAGTTTTAACGGTTAGACTGACCGAGATCCTAGGTAGAATCTGGGAAATGGACGTAATCCCATCCGACTGGTCTCAGTCGCTTATTGTCCCAATCTACAAGAAAGGACGGAAGTCCTCTTGTGACAATCACAGGGGAATAAGTTTAACTAACATAGTTTCTAAATTGTTAGCCTCGATTATACTTAGACATCTAACTAGAGCTCGCGAAGAGCAGACTCGAGAAAACCAGGCTGGTTTTCGACCTGGACGTGGTTGTATAGACCACATATTCACACTACGACAGGTCCTGGGACACAGACACACATTTAGACGTCCGACAATAGTCGTGTTCCTGGACCTTAAGGCGGCATTCGACTCAGTGGATCGTGAGGTTCTGTGGCAGTGTCTGTCATTGAAAGGTGTACCGAAGAAGTACATTAACCTTATACAAGCACTCTACTCGAACACCACTGGTCGGGTGAGAGCATATGGCGAACTGTCATCTGAATTCTCTACATTCAGTGGTGTCCGTCAGGGCAGTCCACTCTCTCCATTCTTGTTTAACTTTGTTGTAGACATCCTCTTAGAGTTAACATTAAGCTCGTCAGATTTTTCAGGGGTTGACCTTCTACCAGGAAAGTCGCTTACTGATCTAGAATATGCCGATGACATAGTCCTACTTGGTGAAGACGCTGACAAAATGCAGAGTCTTCTGACTACCATAAGCAACAATGCGAGCATGTTCGGGATGCGGTTTTCCCCCTCGAAATGCAAAATGTTGCTTCAAGACTGGGTTGCCTCGGCACCTGAACTAGTGATAGGGAGTGAAGTAGTCGGGCGTGTTGATCACTTCACTTATCTGGGGAGTCTCATCAGTGCTGACGGTCTGGTGACTGACGAAATCTCAGCTCGGATACAGAAAGCTCGATTGGCTTTTGCCAACCTGCGTCACTTATGGCGTAGGCGTGATATCCGTTCGCTAACCAAAGGGCGGGTGTACTGCGCAGCAGTTCGTTCCGTTCTCTTATATGGCTGTGAAACATGGCCGTTAAGAGTAGAAGATGTTCGTAGGTTACTAGCATTCGATCATAGATGTTTAAGAAGCATTGCTCGTATATCGTGGGACAGCCGAGAAAGCAATGCTGTCGTTAGGAAACGAGTACTAGGTAAGGATGGCAGATCAATCGATGAAGTGGTGAAACTTCATCAGTTGAGGTGGTTGGGACATGTGTTACGTATGCCTAACCACCGACTGCCTCGACGAGCTATGTTTTGTGGTGTAGGAGTAGGTTGGAAGAAAGTTAGGGGCGGCCAGACCAAAACATGGCACAAATCCATGAAGTCACTGACAAGTGGACTGAGTCATGTTGGTAGATGTAGACTACCTGGTTGGGGTCCGCGAGACGAAAGTCATCAATGGTTAGAGACCTTGAACGACATGGCTCAAAATCGTTTGCAATGGCGCAGGTGCATCCACTCTTTGAGCTCTCTCAAACCCTAATCTGGATTAGCTAGCACCACTACCTTTGTCTTTCTAACCTTATCTCACTGAATTATATTTTTTGAATAATATCTTAAACCCTAGTCTTCTTTATTATAACATTAATACCTCTACCATCTTTATCACTATGGGATTTGATTTGACATTTGCGTCTCTGTGCTAATAATGTGGTATGGCAACATGAACTTATGTACATACGTACGAAGTTCTACGTTGCAACTGACTGACTGACTGAAAACAAAGAAACTGTTCAATATTTAAATCTAAACTGGCTAATGATTAACAAACCAATGTTTATAATTCCACACTATCTAAGAACTACATTGATAAGATTTCAAACAATCGCAAAAAGTTTATTTGATACCCAAGTACTTATCCGGACCTCCCAATTAATATTGGCGCACCTACGATTGAGGAGATCAGTATGGCCATCAGACAAATCAAGAGTGGCAAAACAGCAGGACCAGACAAGATTCCAGCAGAGGCAATGAAAGCAGATGTAGAAGCAACTGCGAAAATATTTTACATCCTCTTCAAGAAGATTTGGGATGAGGAACAAGTACCATCAGATGGGAAAGAAGGATACCTGATCAAAATACCAAAGAAAGGCGATCTCAGCAAGTGTGAGAACTACAGAGGCATCACTCTTCTCTCAATACCAGGCAAAGTCTTCAACAGAGTATTGTTAATCAGAATGAAGGACTTCGTAGACGCCCAACTTCGAGATCAACAGGCCGGATTTCGTAAGGATCGATCGTGTACTGACCAAATTGCAAATTGTGTGGATAGGACACACACTACGAAAAGCACCTAACTGCGTCACGAGACAAGCCCTCACATGGAACCCTCGAGGTAAAAGGAAAAGAGGAAGGCCAAAGAATACATTACACCGAGAAATAGAGAAAGATATCAGAGGAATGAACAAACACTGGACAGAACAGGAGAAGGAAGCCCAGGACAGAGTTGGTTGGAGAAAACTGGTGGGCGGCCTATGCTTCGCTATTGTGGGTAACAGGCGTAAGTAAGTAAGTAAGTATTTATCCTTCAGTTCATCATTAATGGTATAATTTAGTTTTGGTCTTATTTAATTTAAAATAAATGATATAAACTGAAGAAAAAAATTTAAAACTAAGAAACACTAGAAAGCTGTTTTTTGTCTAAGTATGGAATCCCTTATATGAGGTAGTACTCACACTATATAGTGAACTGGCTTAAGTTGGAAATATTTTAGCGGTTTGACTCCAGTGTGGACGAATGATCGAGTATGTGATGAAATAAATCTCCCTTTCCATTCCCGTTTATCAGTAAGTACTTAGGCAAACCCCGTTTGTGCGACGACGATGGTAATAAGAAGCCAAATATCGATTCAGTTGGGTGAATTTATTTCATGCATTGATTTTTAGGCCAGACAGATATGAGTATGAAAAGCGTACAAGCAGAAGCTAAGCGAATTGGAGAAGGCAAGTCAGCCAACTCTCCGTATTCTGAAGAATGACTAAGTATTTATAGTCAAGCAATAATAGGCTAGACATGTAATAAACGAGTTAGCATGCACACACACACACAATCAAACGTACAATAATTGATACAGTTATCGAATTATTACAATATAAACTAGTGAATCCCAGTACATTAGTTTACAGTTTGCGCTTTCATTACGATATATCAATATTCATGGATGAGTGAGTACAGCTCATGACCTACATATTCAGGAGAAACATCTGTTCAATGTTCAATAGTTTTCAGACTGATGAAAAACATCATCTTTACATCATGTCAATCTATCTATTCAACTCAGTCAAGAAACTGGTTTTACACATCATCAGTATAAAATTGAATCAAATCAAATCAAATTTTTTAGAAAAAAAACCCAAGAATCATTGGAAAATCACTTACGGCATTAATGATTTTGCCGGGAATACTAGTGGTCCAGTGATAACACTAATCAGTTGTCCAAGACCTACACGACGACTATCACGTACTTGACATTGAAGAAAATCATATCGTAATATGTAGAAATTTCTCTCAGTTAATACAATTAAACGTTCATGTTCATTATTCCAATGATCAATTCTATAAAATAATAATTTAAAATATTTGATGAAACAACTGGGGTAAATATTCAATATTCAATTTTTATTGTTTAAATATTCCAGCCTTTTAGTATCTATGGTTACCGTGAGGAGACGATTGTTTATCCAGTGAAATATACATATGTAATTAGAATCATAAATTAATATTTCACTCAAACATTTTAATTTACTTCAGGCTACTGACTTATTACATAAGACCTTTCATTTAAACAAAATTAACTGTAAAATAAACTTTTATACAAAACATTTTTCTGTTTAAAAAATACAGAAAGAATGGAAGTTGATTATCAATCAATTGGTTCTTTGATGAGTGAATTGGATAAGTAAAAAAGAATATTCCATTCTACAACTGAATAAACCATCTTCTCTAGCTGAGGAAAAAAATTGGGAAAAAGCACTGAGGGTGGATGGGACGCACACTAAGGAAAGCATCAAACTGGAATCCTGAAAGACAAGGAAGAAGAGAAAGACCAACATTATGCCGACAATTGGAAGCAGACATAAAAACAATGAACGGCGACTGGATAGAACTGAAAAAGAAAGTCCAGAACAGATTAGGCTGGAGAGAACTAGCGGGCGGCCTATGCTCCATTAGAGGTAACAGACTTAAACAATTAACACGTAGAAATCATGAATCAATCATTGTTAGACTACTATTAGAAAACTTGAGGCACTGGACAACCGTTCTTCCTAGTATGAGATTCATCAGCAGTGCGCGTCCACGACTCCTGCTGCTCTCAGGATTCGAATCCACGACCTTCGGTCATGCGCACGAAAGCCTAACCTAATAATTAATTAAATAAGATCCTAAAACTGTTTGTTTTCTTAATTCTGTACATTGTTTAATATCAGTGATATTTGTTAGTTAACGTTTATCGGTAAAACTTATCGAAGAGCCTTGTATTCTTATCAATATTCCTGTAACGTTTTATGGAAATGTTAGGATATTCACCAAATATCCTAAGAATACTATCTTTAGAAGTACAATCCTATTGGCCGAAATTATGATCGTTCTAACCGTCAAGGTCAAATACTTCAATGTTGCTTTTTATTGGTCATCTGGACTGTCAATGTCATTCAAATGTTCTTTTCTATTGGTCGGCCTAAACTGTCAATGTCACAGACGTTGATGCTCTTTCTTATTCGACCTTAGTGTATAAATACGCACTATCTGAAAGACTTAATAATTCGTTTCCCCTGCCTACCTCTTCTTCTGTATTCGACCCAATAAACAACTCCCTTCCACGGTGTTGTGTTCTGATATCTAGGAGATTTGGAAATAGCATTTTGGGTCGTATTGGGATACTTGAATTGGACGCCGTTAGGACTGAAGAGCTATACGTAGCAGCGTTACAACAGGAAATGAGCTTAATTCAGCTCGTGATACAATAATGTTACATAATAAAACAAATTCAAAACGTCAACATTGTTTCATTCATATATATTGCCTAAACTTTCCGTAATAGCTGCTTTGTTTGTTTTCTTGTTAATTCAGGAAACCGGGATATAAAAAGCTAGAGAATTCATTGAATTAAGTTTAAATTAATGAAACGTCCGTGAAACTCTGTTGATATTCACAGCCATCTATTGAATTTTACGATATTCAGTATAAAGATCATTCAAGTGTAGACTAACCGATGGTAAGTTTGTGTCATTTAAACAAACGTTTGTTCTCAATAGAAAAACATTCAATATTATTGTATTAAAGTGTTAATTTAAATCATGGATTTTGTTATAGTTAACTTATAAAACCAAAATAAGTCAAAATAGTCATTAAAGATCGTTGAAGCTTTAAAAAGGATAACGGCTATATAATGCTTAGTTCTATTTACGGGAAAGATTATCGATGGTAGTGAGTTAGGCTTGTTATTCCTCGTGGAGCATCGATAACTGATCAGTAATCTTCAACCAACTGAGTCCTCTATACTATCAGTGCCTCAAGAATCGCTAATCATTCTTTTCATGTTTGCCCCAAATCCTCGGCGCAATGCAATCTTCGGTCGGCCTTTTTTCACTTCACTTTGAGGATTCCAAGTTAGGGTTAATCTTGCAACACTGTTGGGTGGTTTCTTCAATGTGTGTCCTATACACCTCCAGCTCTTTTTGCTAATTTCCTCCTCTGCTTGAATCTGGTTTGTCCTGCGCCACAGTCAGGTTGTTGCTGATAACGCCTAGCTAACGAATCCTCAGTATATTGTGTAGACAACTGTTAATAAACACCTGTATCTTTAGGATGATAGTTTTCGTAATTCTCCAAGTTACCGCCCCATACAATAACAGAGTCTTGACATTTTCATTTAAAATTGTGACTTTGGTGTTGGTTGACATCTGTTCTGTTCAGTTGTAGAAATGCTTCTTTTATTCTACCAAATTTCTGATCTTTGTTAAATTTATATTTTTTTTAATAACTAGTGTTTCAGTTGTGCTAATCTACTTACTGTCAATAAATTCATATAAATTCATATACAGATTTCGTGCATAGTTTTAGAGAATATTTGATATCTCTTTCGGAATTTCAGTGAAAATTTATATGGGTGTGTCACAATAACAAGTGCTCTCCACATTTTATTATTTTCCAAGTTTATAATATATTTATTTAGATATTTATAGATGTTAAAGTTTTAGGTTATAAACAAAATTTTATCAAAATCATGGATCGAATAACATTAGATCATGACTAACAACTTGAAAACACTCAATGGCTGTTCCTTTACGGTAAAGAGGAACTCATCAGCAATGTGCATCCATGGTCTCGCATGCGGAAATTGAACCTTTGGTCTTGCTCATGAACGCTTAACTCCCAGACCATTCAGCCGGTATCCAACTGTTGATCTCAATGTCCAAATCCAATCAGTGAAGTTGTATCATGTTGGGTTTGATGCAGTTACCTACTTAACACAATGAATGAGATCGTACAGTATTAAGGAGTGACCCAGGTGCAGAAATCGTACATGCACACTCACGATGAGTCCCGTATACTAGGATGAAACACTCGTCCAGTGCTTCAAGGATTCTAATGATGGTCTAACATTGATTGATTCATGATTTTAATAAAACCCAACAATCTTCACAATCCTAGAATGATATAAAACTTCAAATAATCATTTCAAATGATGTTTTTTATTCAAATTCATTGATTAATTTATCTGTAAATTTAGCTACTCATGTACATATCAAAAGAAAAGCAATACAATCTCAACAACTTACAATGTAAGTATCCATAATGCAATAAACGCTCCATCTTCTGGTATGAGTACTGATTCACCAATATAATGAATCAGTTGTTGCATATCCTCCTAATTTATCAAGAAGAAATAAAGAACGTCAATAACAATTAGAAACTAGAAAAACTAAATAACAGTTAATAAGATGTAAAAATAATGTGTAATATTTTCCTACAAATAAACTGTTAGCAGGTAATAGAAATCACAAACTAGATCAACACAAACAATTGTTATTATTGTGAATCACTGAATATCAACCCAGTGATCTAAAGATAATAAATGAATACCTTAACGGCTGTAAGTTCTGTATTTTACCACTAATTTTCCACTAATCCGTTATCTTCCTATTTGAACTATCGAACTGAAACCTGAAAGTACTGGACGGACTTCTCATCTTTGTATGTGGCTCATCAGTTGAGCGTATCTACTACTAGTGACTAGCTTCATGCTGAATTCCTGGAGTTTTAGTGAGAAGTCTTGACTAGTGAAGTTCAATCTGTGTCGGGTAGGGAACAGTTATTTGCAGCTGGAAATGGATGAAAGTGGAGTGGTATCATGAACTAATTGAAGCTAAACATGAACACCAATGGACGCCAACTCAGCATTATAGAAGTTAAGCGTTCGCATGTGAGACCGAAGGCCCTGGGTTCGATTTTTGCATATAGACTCGTGGATGCACACTGCTGAGAAGTCCCATACTAGGAAGAAACGGCCGTCCGGGGCATTCAGGTCTACACTGGTAGTTCAGCTTAAATCAGTTCATGAGTTCTAATTATGAAAGTAATAAAATTTCCACAACTTCACTTCATTAATCTGTTATCATTTAGATTTTCATCGTACCACTATCCTACTGATTTATATTGGAGGTATTTTAGGCAAAAAGAAACAAAATATCTATGTGTTAAACGTGTCTCGGATTTTTATAAAGCTTACCTATTCTGATTAATTGGCTAACCCGTAAAGCTTAATAATTCTTCAAATGAACTTTCGTTTTCAGACTACTTTGAGTAATTTCATTTTAGTCTCGATGTCACTAGTGTTAGACTTACAATTGATGCTAACTATTCTGTACTACTAAATAGTTTAAAAGTAGGTAGACAATATATGATAAATTATTTTAAAGTCGTCAATCATTCTATTGAACAGAAATTCAGACTAATATTGTACGAATCTTAAGTATTCCGTTATTGATATTCTTGACTGAATTGCCACCAGCTTTAGTTGTTCATATATGAATGCTCCGCGAATTTTTCAGGTTTATGTGCATCAAACATGTGAAGTTAAATGTATTAAGTTCAAGTCCTTGGATGGACATCAAAACCGCGAACATATATTCTTCCGATGAGTCTCGAATAAAACGAGACTGGTGTTATAGATTCTCATTTCACTCACAATTCATTAATTTGAGAATGTAATGATACATGAAATTCAATGGTTTTTTAATTTATTACAATGAAATAAACGTTGAGATAGCGTAAATACTTAAAATTATAAATATAATAAGTAGCTTGAGAATGCAAATATGATTTAGAAGATTTGATAAGATGGTACAATTGAAACAAGTTTGATCACTTGATAAATAAGCAAATAAATTAATAATAGGAATTAAAAATAATAAGCTTCAAATAAGCCAATCAGTAATAATGTGGTGTGAGCTACTTATAAGTAGTATATGACGTGAGTGTCAACGTAATGTCTGGCAGCAGAAGATGGGGGAAGATCAAGAAAGGAAGAGTTAGAAAACAATGGAATTTGTATGAAACGCATGAATAGTGACAATGGATTGATGTTTTGCAACAGGAACAGTCCAGTTCGATATGATGGACTGATAATTTGCAAATGAACGATTTACGATATGGTTTTCCAATTTTACTGAGTAACTCTGTAATTTTCGTTAAATACAATTCGGTTGCCCCACTTGTGTTCTCCTTCGCTACAATAATGTAGAACTTCGTATGTACGGTTCAGTTGAAATTGTCACACCACATTAACAAGCAGAGATCGATCCAACAGCAGTAGAGGTTGTGGCAGTATCAGTGGTAATGAAGAAGATTAGGGTTAGATATCATGTGCTAAGTATATCCCAGTTAAAAAAAATTTAAAAAGAGAAGTCATGAGATTAGGAATCGAGAGAATACAAAGAATGTAGGCATCTGCGCCATTGCAAATGATTTTGAGCCATGTCATTCATGGTATCTAACCATCGGTTACTACCGTCTCGCGGACTCAAATTGGTAGTCTGTACCTAATAATATGGCTCAGTTTAGTTGTATGTATATTTTTTGAAGCTCTATTACACCATACTCTTTAAATCCAATTTATTAGGAAAGAAAACAGTTATCATTGAATGAGAAGCGTAGACTTTTTATATGATTCCTAATATTCCCCCCTACTGAGCTTTCATTTTCTACTTCATAATAAAAATTTAATAAATCTAATTAATTTACTGTTTACACTGTCTCTTTAAAAAAAAAAAATATTATTTTGTTATATGATATTTATCAAAATATTGTTGAAATGGGCGTTTTTATGTACGTACTTTCAATGTTCAAAATCAAATCTAATTTGTTTATTGCTGCAATCGAATGATTGTTGTTTTAGTTGTGAAATATATTTTTTCAAATAAAATTAATTTTTTTTTCTGGTTAGTGTTTTTTCAGTAAGTTTATTTTCACAACGGGATTGGTTAGTTAACCCTATGCCCAACCCTATTTAGTTATCCAGATTTGTGACTCACATTATAATCCTAGACGTGTTTCAGGCGGTGGGGGTATAATCTGACAAGCTAAAAAAAAAGAAGAATTCCTACGATTGAAAAATATTTGCAACTCAACAAAACAGCTGTCAACTAACACCATAGTCACAATTTTCAATACAAATGTCAAGAGTGTTGTCTATGCAAAATACTATGGATCCGTTGGCCAGACACTATCAACAACAACCTATTGTAATGAAGAACAAACCAGCTTTCTAATGTAGTGGAAATTAGGAAAATGCACTAGAGGTGGATAGGAAATACAATGTGGAATTCATCCGATTAAATGATAAAACAAGCCCAAACTTGGAACACTCAAGACCAGCAGAAAAAAGGCACACCGAAGAACACATTTCGCTGAGAATCAGAGACAGACATGAAAATAATGAATAACAATTGGTTTGAAATGGAAAGGTGAGAAGTGAGGACAGAGTTAGTTGCAGATTATTGGTCGGTGGTCTATGCTCCACGATGAGTTTTTCGGAAAAGAATTGACCGATTATGGATATTAATATCTGGTACATCCACACGGCTAGTTCAGAATAGAATGAAACATTCATCATGGATTAGAGTAGCATCCATAATCCATTTAAACTTTGATCGCCATCACAATCATAAAACATTATTAAATGTTGAATGAATTATGTGAATTCTTCGATATATAATCAAGATTTTACTGAATATAATTTCCTAGAATAAAAGATGCACATTTTGTGATAATACAATGTTAGACCACCATTATAAACTTGGAAGCAAAGGACGACCGTTTCGTCCTGGTATGGGACTCATCAGCAGTGCGAATCGACGACTCCCGCACCTCACAGGATTCGAACCCCGGACCTTTGGTATTGTGCGCGAACGCCTAACCATCGTACCACTGGGCCGGCATCCAACGGTGTTATTGTCTAACTTTGATTGATCTACGGCTTTTTGCGCGACCTCACCCATTTGTCTTTGGTAGTTACTGCCTACACCCGACAGGGTTGAGCTACATTAATTAGCCACGTCTTCTCAACTAGAACTCCGAGAATTTCCTCACGAATCTAGTCACTAGTGAGCACTGTTACGATATTTTCGGACAGAGTTTTGGAGGTTTTGTGTTTTTACACATTTTATTGATAAAACGGCCGTCCAGTGCTTCCAGGTTTCTAATGGTGGTCTAGTAACAATGATTGATTGATGATTTCAAATGTGTAAAAACACAAAACCTCCAAAACTCTGCCCGGAAATAATACAGTGTCTTTTGTCTACAGGATCGAAATGCTTATTGTACATAGAAATATCAGAATCCTTGTTCACAAACCTAACTTCTGAGTTCAAAATAAGCTTGTAAAACCACTCTCACAGCCTTGAAATAGAACTAGATTTCAATTGAACCCTGATGATTTTACAGCCTTCTCAACAACGTCTCTTGATTCCTACATAAATACTACAATAATACTGACCACCTTTCATCAAAATATTTTATAAATTTTCTTTTTTATCGATTTCATGTAATTTAGGAACTTTCTAATTGAATTTATCGATTTTTATTATCCGCTTCCTTCTAATTACTCGATATTATTTTGTAATCATTGTGATTTGAGATTCTAGTGGTCGTTGGGACAGTAGTGGAGATCATCGGCTTCTATGTATAGCTAGAGAAAATCTATCCACAGATTAAAGTCTGTCAAAAAGACAGACTTCATCAAATGACATGGTTGGAAGATGTGTTGCGTATACCCAACTACCAACTGCCTCGACGAGCTATGTTTTGTGGTGTAGGAATAGGTTGGAAGAAAACTAGGGGTGGCCAAACCAAAACATGGCACAAATCTATGAAGTCAATGACAAGTGGACTGAGTCATGTTGGTAGGTGTTGACTAGCTGGTTGGAGCCCACGAGTTGATAGTAATTGATATTCAGAAACCTTCAATGACATGACTCAAAATCGTCTGCAGTGGCGCAGGTGCATCCATTCTGTAGTTTCTCTCAAACCCTAACGTTTTGAATTCTTCATCACCTCTATTATCTTTCTCTTTCCAAACTTATATCACTTTTTATCTTATACTTTTTGATTAATATCTTCAAAACCTAATCTTCTCCATTACCGCTAATATGTCTACTATCTCTACTACTATGGCGTTTGAACTGACAATTCCATCTCTATGCTATTATGGTATGGCAACTTGAATTCATGTACGTACGTACGAAATTCTATTTTGTCGTTGACTGAATGACTGACTGTCTGTCTGTCAAAAAGTGTGAATAAACCAATAACCTAACTAATAAAACATAGTAATAGTAATAAGTTAATTGATAATATTCACAGTCATAACAATACTTCTTACCAAACTTTGTATACGAATAATACTTTAAAAAAAAAAAACGAGGACAAACCTGTGTCATATTCATTGGAGCTTTGCCAATATCTTCTTTATTATTGTTTATCCCAAATTTACCGATGTTAGGCATCTGTGGCATTTGTGGCATTGAAACTTGTGGCGTTGGAATTTTTTTTAATACTTCAGAAAAATTCATCTTCTCTGTTCTTTAAAATAAAAAATCTACTTCACACAAGAATTTAATATTATTATTATTATTGACGATAACTATGATGATGATGATGATGATGATGACGATGTACAAAACTACTTTCTTTGACTTCCACCTTCAAATACTGCTTTTAAATTCAATAAATAATAATAAAGTGTATCACACTGAGAAAAAGTATATTTTTTCCTCACTGAAATCTCTCCATTTTTTCTACCTCCTCTCAATCATTTGGTCTCAATAAAATATCGATTAATTATTATTCTCCAATTATGATTGGTTATTGACTACATTCAATGACTGACCATAATGACCAATCACAGACGAGTTTTGAATTGAATTCCCCTAAAAAAAGAAAATAATTTTGTAACTCTAGTAAGAGAGATTGAGAATACAAGATCAGAAAAAATATCTAACAAACAAACGAACTAACAGTTAAAGTATTGATCGATAGAAATGATGCTAATATTTTGTTGTTGTTGTTGTTGTGATAGTGAAGGGGAATTCAAAGAAAAGACAATTTCATAAACACGTAGATCATCGCCTTATTAGTTATTATTATTTTTTTTTTCAAAGAAAGCAAAAACAATTTGTTTGAACAGAATAAGATGCGTTCATCATTCTTATGTTGTTTGGTTCACGTCAGTTGTTTACAAGCTGTAAAATATTTTGAGAATTATAGTAATAATATGGATCGGAATTTACTTATATGAAAGAAAGAATTTAATTGGAAATTGCTATGACCATACATCAGTTTATTTAGTATAGCAAGAGTATAAAATGATTTTAATAGACTGAATAAAAGATTACAAATATATGTAATATATATAATAGTATTAGTGGTATATCTATATTAAAAATCATTAGTCAATCATTGTTAAACTACCATTAGAAACTTGGAAACACTGGACGGCAGTTTTTTCCTGATTTGGGACTCATCAGCAATGAGCATCCAAGACTCTTGCACCTCACAGGATTCGGTCTCTCACGTGAACGCCTGACCTCTGGACCGTCACTCAACGATTTTATTGTCTAACTTTGATCAATCTAGGGATTTTGCGCGACCTCTTACATTTGACTTTGGTAGTTACCGCAAACAATCGATAGGGTTGAACTCTACTGGTCGCGCGAAATCTCTAAATTGATCAACGTTAGACATTAACACCTTTGGATGCTAAGCCAGTGATCCAGAGGTTAAAAAACCGAAGGTCCTAGCTTCGTTTCTTGCAAGTAAAGAGAGTCATGAATGCGCAATGATGATGAGTCCCATACCAGGAAGAAACGGTCGTCCTGTGCTTCTAGGTTTCTAATGGTGGTCTATCAGTGATTAGTTGATGGCTTCATAAATTTGTTTGACTATTGAAATATTACAAGCTATTACCAGTAAGCTTTGAATATTAGTTTCATTCTTATCGGTGGGATAAGACAAGGCGTGTTTTTTGTAAATGAGTGGAAATATTTTGTGATACGGATTCAAATAAATGTCACCAGGTACTCACAGTTGTGTCTCTATAGTCTGACTATATATATTCTTAGTCATGCTCTATTTCTTGGAGTCAGCTCAACAGCCTTCTGCAATTCATATCGCTTCATTCGTTTTATTCACTGCTTCTCCGATTCGCTGTGTAGTGTGTCCCAAATAAACGTATTCATCACTACAAGTTCACCTTCTGATTTATAAACCGTCAGACGCTATTTACTAACGATTGTTTGGACGAGTTAATTACCGAGCTTAAGAAGACGCAGTAAATTGACACACTACACATCCATTTATATCAAAACAGTATCACATAAGATCTACTAACATTTAGTCATTTAGTAGAACTAATGACAAGCCAAATCTGATCAATAATTCTATTTGAGTAAATGATATACACGACTCTGTGTATTCTATGATTATTTCATTCCATTTTTTTAAAAAAAAGTTGCAATCAGCAAACAAAAAAATAAAAGGGAAGAGAAAATCTATCCGTTTTATATTCTCGCTGCCGTTTATTTATGTAAACCTATTGATTTAATCCATTTCTGAAGTATTAAGATTGAATTTTGATCAGTCTTTGTATAGACACACATGTTTACTTTGAAATAGACTGGTTAAAAAAAAGCTATTTTTGTTAAAAGTCTTGTCATACCATGTTAGATCGTATTGAAATGCCTGATATCATTGTTATCATTTATAGTGGTTATGTATTATTTACTTCTCTTATCAAAAGATATTTTTTTTCTCCTAGTTTTGATCGAAATTAACATTCTTTCACAGTCAATACTTGTTTCTTTTGGACTATGTGTTCTGATGTTTAAGTTTAAAAAAAAAAATGAGAACATATTTTAAGAATGCTACATTTTCTGCTTGAACGCTTAAACAACGACTTATTCAATGCTTACTTATGTTCAAAAGTTTCATTAGAACAAAGGAGATAGACCAGAAAGTATAGAAGTTGTTTTACTTTACTCAAAATACATCGATATCTTTATAGGATCATGTGTAATCTTAAGGTTATTGGAACTATTGAAAAGTATGTTAAAATTAATTGAAAGATGAAGTAATTCTACCTCCTAAGTAAGGAAAACAGAATATATTTTTGTTTAGAATTCCCTTTCAAGTTTCTGAAGGCACTGTCTATTATTGGCGTTTCTTAATTACGCCTATTACCCCAATGGAGCATAGACTGATGATCAGCATTCTACAACCTACTCTGTTCTCGACTTCCCTTTCCATTTCTGTTCAATTGCTATTTATTCTAAGTATGTCTGTCTCCATTAGTCGGTGTTATGTGTTTTTCTGTGTTCCTCAAATCCTTCGACCTTGAGGAATCCAGGTGATGGCTTGTTTTGTTGACTTAGTTGGGTGACTCCCTCAATGTGTGTCCTATCCATTTCCAGAGCTTCTTCTTGATTTCCTCATCACCTGAAATCTGGTTTGTTCTTTCCCTACAGCAGGTTGTTGCTGATAGTGTCTGGTCAACGAATCCGAAGTATTTTGAGCAGACAAATGTTGACAAATACTTGTATCTTCTGGATGATGAATATTGTAGAAGCTTGAAGTAGTTTTCCGAATAAGTAATTGTCATAATTTTGTTGTATATTTACTGAGTAACTAGATTACTTTGTATTTCATTTATCATAAGTTTTCAGTCAACACTCTGACTTAAGGGTTATACTAATGAATTTAATTTATTTATACGTAATTGTTATGTCTCATTTGATGGTACGGTACGCTGCCGTGTGTCTGTACATTAACCATGACTGTATGTGTGGTGCCTCCACATACATTTGAGTTCGCTAATATTTAATTTAGTCAAGCCTTTTGATTCATTCATTTAACCAAACCGTTGGTACAAGCAACAACTTACATGTACCATTGGCTTTCATTATTGTCTGGTTGAATGAGCTGGTATGACTAAACATTGCTTACCGCATACACGAATATTCATTCTCTTCGCTTTAATGTTAATCTATTAAATATCTAGATGACTCAGCCATTTTCTTATGTGATCTTATTCACTCATCCGTTCGCTTGATATCGTGCTTACCATTCTCTGTGCGTTTTTAGTCTTATAGTGGTACCCAAATAAACATACAACTTCGCGGGATAAAAAGTGTTAATCCCGTTAATCTAGAAATCAGAGAAAAGGCGATTCTAGATGAAGAAGTTTATTTATTGCTAGCCTCGCGATATCGAAATAATATTGAGGCCAGTGGGTCCAAGAAAAGACGACCAGTGTAGCAGCAGCCTCAGCAGCAGTAGGTCTCAACATACATAAAAGGGAAAAGTAAGATTCTACGATACAACACAACATGCACCAAACAAATCACTCTTGATGGAGATGCCTTGGAGGACGTTAACAACTTTACCTATCTTGGAAGCATCATTGACAATCAAGGTGGATCCGATGCAAATGTGAGGGCGTGGATTGGCAAAGCGAGTGCTGCATTTCTGCAGTTGAAAAATATCTGGAACTCCAAACAACTTTCAACCAAAACCAAAGTCAGTATTTTCAATACAAATGTCAATACAGTTCTACTGTATGGAGCGGAAACTTCGAGAGCTAGGGAAGCCATCATCCAGAATATACAATTATTTATGAACAGTTGTCTTCGCGAAATAATTCGGATTCGTTGGCCAGACACCATCAGCAATACTCTACTGTGGGGAAAAACCAACCAGATTCCAGTGGAGGAGGAAATCAGGAAGAAGCGGTGGAAGTGGATAAGACACACATTACGAAAAGCACCTAACTGCGTCACGAGACAAGCCCTCACATGAAACCCTCAATGTAAAAGGGAAAGAGGAAGGCCAAGAAACACATTACGCCGAGAAATAGAGAAAGATATGAGAGGAATGAACAAACATTGGACAGAACTGGAGAAGAAAGCCCAGGACAGAGTTGGTTGGAGAAAACTGGTGGGCGGCCTATGCTCGATTCGGGGTAACAGGCGTAAGTAAGTATGTAAGTAACCAGTGGGTACACAGCCGGCTAACAACAAACGAGGAGAGAAGGCCGAAAATCAAAGACACGCCTGTCGCGGGAGAGATAGTCTTTTGTACAGATAAACAAGAGGAGTACAATATAACAATTAATGTTAGAATTAAGTACAATAATAAATGTTTATATTTCAGCGATTGTGGTTTCTTCGTAAAAGTATACCACTACAGTCTCCTGGTTCATTTATGGCGTTTGAAAATAAACGTATTCAACACTTGGTATTTGCCTTCTGATTTAGAAACCGTCAGGCACTATTTTGTAATGACTGTCTGGACGAGCAGTATACAAAGTCTAAGAACACGTTGGATACCGACCGTCACGAAACTATTTGTACACTGGTCACCATATATGAAAAACAACTGACTTTTGTGTCTATTTCTGAACTTAAGGCAGGAGCTTGCAAATAACGAGCCGACAACAACTTAGCTGCTGGCTATAGGTAAATAGTGCTGTCGGGCATGTAAATGTTTCACTTCATGATAGCAAGCTATCAAAACAAAAATAGTCAGTTAAAAATAGATCAGATTAGACTTAAGGTCCCGACTAATGACTTTTGAAGTGAGATTGTAACTACTTGTCGCTAGATTACGAAGTAAAATCCCGTTAAATCCAGAGATCAGAAGGAAGACTATGACTGGATGATAAGGGGGATTGATTCGTAGTCTCGTGGTATCGAAATGATTTGAAGACC